AATCCTGGTCAGTCTTCTCTCTGTGGCATGATTTTAGTGGGTAGGCAAGTTCAACTAAGGCTAGCCCTGCAGGTGTATTTGGAAGGAGACAGAGGTGCCATCACACCTTCACTATCCTTTCTCCTCTATCATCCTCTCCTCTCCTACTCCTGTGCCTGAAATAAACATATACACAAACAAAAAACAATTCTATAAAAACAGCCACACAAAGGTTATAGCTCACATCTACTTAATAACTATCTCATAGAAGAGTCTATACAACTCAAGGAAATCTATGGGTACTTACCAGATATATTTGGCTCCAGATTTCAGTGGCGGCAGGTTAATGGAGAAGGGAAAAGGGAAATAGGTGGATTTGTAGGTATTATACAATGTCTGAATCTGTGCTGGTCACACAATACATACTAAGAAATGCTCACAGAATCAATGAAAAAACAAAGCCAGGGGCCACCACCTAGTAATACAAATACAAAATTCCTATTACTTGGGTCAAAAGTTGTCAATGAAGAAATTATTAACTTTTGTGCCTTGAGTCCCTATTTGACATAACTGACTCTCTTCTCAATAAGCCCTCTCCCCTGCTTACCCAATAATATTGTTTTTCCCTTGCTTGCCTTTTACATCCAGTTACTCTCAAATTTCTGCCTTGCAATGCTGCCAATGTTTTGAATACCTTAAAGACTGTTCATCCTAAAATGTTCCTCCTACAGAGTGGTTCATCAGGCTCCTACCACAGTCTGCTGGTAACAAAGCTTAATCAATTTGGAATGACATGGTTCTGAGTTATCTGGAAAGCTAAGACTAAAGATATAATGTATTGATATTTTTTGAATTTTTCAACTGGTTGCAAAACTAAAATTATATTTAGCATCACAGAATCACTTTGGTTCCCACAGGTGTGCAGTAACATCACAGTTTGGAAAAAAAAAATTGAATTATATCCTTGGTAGGAGCTCAAGTAGCTTCAAATGCACTTAGGTGTCTTAGGTCCATTTGATGGTCTGCTTTAATGAATAATAGTGTCCTTAAAAAGTTATGTAGCAATAGGGAAAGAGACATATTTGACTTCTGCTAATGAGTTTGGCATGCTTAAAAGGCATTACAATTAATGAAAAAATGTAAGCAAATGGAAATACCTTAATACAGCATTAAAAAAAAAAAAAAAGCAAAAAAGCAGTGGAAACCTGAGTAAAAAGAAGCCAGGAAGCAGCTGAAAAAGAGACCGGTTCACTGTGAGAAATGTAAACCTCTCAGACAGTGCTACGGCCCCGAATCCAACAGCTCAGGAACAAGGCCAATTATTGCAAAATATTAAACATATATGGTGAAGCTGCAAACTTTTCAAAAGAGTCATAAGAATAGAAGCAGCTACAAAGAAAAGAGCCAGGGCTTCATATACCTAAAATCTTTGCTATAATTACTACAAGCAGGAAAAGTTTCTTAATATTAATAGTTTACCAAACTCTTTATATGTAGTGTACTTCATAGTATTCAAACCGTATATTTTATGATAAAAGGTTAAGATAATAAATCTCTATTATTACAACTGGCAAGTAACCAGATCTTTTGAAACAGTTGTTTACATAACTCCAGTTATTGACAACAAATTGCTAAGCTATTTACAAACAAATTCTCTAATATTCCACCATTCTGAACTAGAAATGACTCACATGAGACACAGAATCATGGAATTTTAAAGTACACAGAGGCTTCAATAGACAATATAGTAAAACTTCCTTACTTTGCAAGTGGGTAAACCGAAACCCAGAGGCTTTAAGTGATACGCTTAACACCAGTTAAAATGACTAAGGGCCATCAGGATTCTGACTCTTATTTTGTTGTTCTTCCATGTTATACAATGCATTGTTCAAAAAGCCTAATATATATATAGCCAGAATTTCTTTTTTGTTCACGGGGTAAACTCAACTCTGTTTAGAATGACCATGATAGTAGGTTCACATTCATAACAAAAGACTAGTACATTCACTCCCCAGCAGTAATGTTAGCACTGAGTTCAATTCTGTTCCCATAATAGATGGAGGTTTATTGTCAAGGAGATCAAAACTATTGTGCTCCACTGACACACACACAGATAGAAGATCCAAAGCATTTTACCCTTGAGATATTTTACTAACCTCTTCCTTGCCTCCAAAAGAGAAAATTACAGAAAATCCTGTATTTCTTTTGCCCATTCCCTATCTGCTCTAAGAAGAACACTTGGCTCAATTGGGTTTGTTAATTTGGGGTAAAATTTCTTTAAATTTATATATAAACATTTAAACATTTGTGCTATGGTGAAGAAAAATTATTCCAACACTACCAATGCTTTCACTATTTGCTGGCATAATTAGTTTACCCTTTTTATGTTAAAAAAATGCTTCTTGACACTTTGTAGGGTAAGCAAGTATTGTTTGACAAGAAATAAAAATGTAAGGGATATGACAAAGCATTTCTCATTTTAATCAGATTGGGATAGTGAAATGTAGGGAAATATAAAAAAAATCCAAAAAGGAAACCCAGAAAGTATTGTTTACATACAAAAATATAAATTGCTGAGAGAGAAATTGCTATAAATGTGTAAAAAAAAAAAAAAGAAATAATAAAATGTTCATTTCCCAGTACGTTTTACTTTTCTATTAAGACACAAACATAATTGTACACTTTTCTGTAAGTTTTGATATTAAAACATAACCATTAGCTCACTATAAAACAGTCTTTTAGATTATAACTTTTAAAAGACTTCAAATTCCTACTAATTCTATAAAAAGGTTCAATACGATTACCAACACAATAGCTGGCACTGGCACTGCTGAACTTTTCTTTTAAGGGAAATTTTCTATTATACTTATTAGCATAACAAAATTTCTTTCCCTTTCAGATAAGGATGCTTTGAGGATTTATTTCCTTTTTATTCTTCAAACTGAATGAGATTCAACTAATTTAAGCTCCAAGTTGAGTACACTAAATAAAATAACTGAAAAGGCACAGCCAGGTTATTAATATAAAGTGTTATATTATGACTGGCTCATAAGAGTCAAACACAATGTCAAAAACTATTCAAAGGTATGATTCTCTTTTCTGTGCCTACACTATCCAGATGCAATCTGACTTATTGTTTACTTCCTTCTTATCATAATTAGCATTAGAGAAAACCCCACAATTAAAAATATCCCTGATGATAAACACATAATGTCAACAGATATTTTAGCCCCCAAATAGGCATTTTTAGTTGTTTTCTATTAAGTGGTAATATTTTTTTGCAGGGATGTGTTTGTACTAGCGCACCAGTCCCAACCTGTGATGAAAAGATTTTATTTTCTAGACAGTTTGACCATGGACAGGAATAAATATTTTGCCATGGAAAAGAACAAAACTATAAGCTCACACAAATACAGAATAAAGAATCTTCGCTTGCCTCATTAATAGGGTATACTAATGAACTAAGTTAATTAGTCACACAAGATATTTAAATGAGTTCATGAAGATAAATTTCCTTCTTTATTTTCATGACATCAGCTATAATCTGTGTTATAACTTTGGAAGAAAAAAATAAAGATGGAAACAATATGAAAAGGCAGTCACTTGAGGCCCAGAAAATCATTTCTATTAGAATAAAACAACAATGTATGCAAAGCCAAAGAGCAGTGTGACAACCAATGTGCTCATGTATAAAGAACAACTTTTGAAGCCTTTTGAAATTAGAGCACATACCTAGTCTATGTTATTTGACATAGACTGTATTATTAAACTTCAGGTAAACCTGAAACTAAAAGAAGTTACATTTGAGACAGAGAAAAAATTCTAACTTGGTTAAAATGACCAATGTTTGTACTCAACATCCTTTGAAAGAACGTCTGTCACATGTACAATACAGAGCTAGTAACATACAAAACAGGGAAGAACCTGCATGCTAAGTATAAGACAACTCGCAAGGGTAACAGATGAAGGAAGTTCTCCTGCAGGGTGAACTTGGTGAGTCACAATGATCACTGACGACTCTGTACTGGCAAGGAGAAGCAAGAACACTTCTCATCAGATGGGCCAGTGCAGAGATGTTTCTCCTGAAACGGTGGTAACCCTTAAGCATTCCACACAATATCAAGAGCAATAAACTGTCTCAGTGAAGATGGAGGTTACAGTGCCACAGTGAGTCACATTCACATAGTCTGAGAGCCTTCACTAGCGATAAGCAGCTAAAAAAGTTCTAAAGAAACCAATAGTAAAATTCTACCTCAACTCCTAGAGTTACGAAAGGCAGGATAAATACCTCATTAAACATCTGGGACAGAAGTACACATCTAGATGGAAAGCATATAGAGAAATGAGTTCATTAAAATCAGTAAGATAGTTTTTTTACACTGAGATCACAGTTGTTTTCACTGAATGCTTGAAAAAAATTTGAAAAGTATGTTGAGTTTTAATATATTTTATATGTCTAGTATTGGATTGTAATTTGATTTAAAAATACTTTTCACTATACATCAACAAAGTGAAAAACAAAACAGAAAATATGCATAAGAACATCATTCCTTTTAAAGGCATTCCTACTAAGACATCAAAATACCATCCCTAAGCTATAATTTTCAGTCAAAGGTAGTTTTAGTCTTTGCTTCTGGTTAGCCATTCAGAAGATATCTTGTGCCCTGCCTTGCCTCTATTTGGCTGTTATCGTAGGTGGATTATCAGGCTGCAAAGAGGGCTTCAACTGCAATGGCATTGAGGACTGGCAGCCATTCAACACCGTGTGGCCTAGTAGGATCTTGCCATTACGGCTCCCAGCCCTTTAGCATATATATAGACTTGACAGTATCTTCTGGGGGATGCTAAGACTTGCCCACTCTTTTAAACTCATGGGTTTGCATACTCATATATATATGTACATATCTGAGATACATGACAGACTGAATGTCATAGTATCTTAATAGGAAGACTGAAATAAAGTAAGATGAAAAAAGCAATGCCCATGGCTAAGAATTTATAGCATCTGAAACTCTACTCACCTGTCTGTTGTGCAGGCTGTGGCAGTGGTTGGTTTAGATGTGAATTGTAATGGACAGAAGGGACTGGGCGAAATTGAGGTTGACTGGAGTGATAGTGGCCTGGAGCGCAATAACAGGCTGGCATCTAGGACCATAAGTATTGAGGGAAAAAATTCAATTTACTTATAATAGAAATTTTTTTCTGTCAGGAGTATCAGAGTTTAATGACTAAATCTTTCTAGCATCAACCACCTGAAGACTGACTTTATTTTTAAATTTAATTCAAAAAAAATTAAAAAATTCAAACATATAGTATACATAAAAAGAGACACCTACAAATGTGCCTACCAATCATATTTCGATTTTAATTTTTTTTCCCGTATTTGTTTTAGCACGCTCTCTCTTTTTACAAAACCAAACATTACTGAAATAGCTAAAGGTTCACTTCATTTCCTTTACTCTACCTTCCATAGAAAAGCCATTATCCTATAGGTGGTGATTTTTATTATATATCTATTATCCATGTATGTATTGTGGAATATTTAAAAAACCTACATTTATGGTACAGGTTGAACATCCCTAATGATAAAGTATCTGAAATGCTCCAAAATGCAAAACTTTTTGAGTGCTGACATAATGCCACAAGTGGAAAATTCCACATCTGACCTTAAGTGAAACAAAGGCAAAACTTTTTGTTTCATGCACAATATTAATAAAAATTTTGCTTATATAACCTTAAGGTTATGTGTATAAGATGTATATGAAACATAAATGAATTTGCTTTTTAGACTTGGGTCTCATCCCCAAGGCATTTCATTATGTACGTGCTAATATCCCCAAATCCAACAAAATTTGAAATCTGAAACTTCTGGTCCAGAGTATTTCAGGTAAGTGACACTCAACTTGTACTCTCCTATATATAACTAAATGAAAATCACATTGTAATAAACATTGTTTTTGAGACTTAATTTTGTTGAAATGTACTCCTAGCTCATTCAATTTAACTACTGAACAGCATTCACTGTACAAATAAACCATTTTACCCATTCCCACATTAATGCATAGTTGTACTAGTTCCATTCTTTAATTTTTCTCATACAGTCACATACCACATCACAATGTTTTGGTCATCACAGACCCCATAATACAGTGATCTTATGAGATAATGGAGCTGAAAAATTCCTATTGTCTAGTCACATCATAGCACAATGCATTACTCACGTGTTTGTGGTGACACTGGTATAAACAAACCCACTGTGCTGACAGTCATATAAAAGCACAGCACAGACAATTATGTACAGTGTGTAACACTTGATAATGATAATAATGTTACTGGTTTGTGTATTTACTATCCTATTGTTTTTATTAGAGTGTACTTGTTCTACTTATTTAAAAAAAAAGTTAAGTATAAAACAGCCTAATAAGGTAGGTCCTTCAGGAGGTATTCTCAAAGATGGCGTTGTCACAGGAGATGAGAGTTCCGTGTGTGTTACTATCCTTGAAGATCTTCCAGCGAGACAAGATGTGGAGGTGGAAGATAGTAATATTGATGATCCTGACTTTGTGTAGGCCTGGGCAAATGTGCGTGTGTCTTAGTTTTTAACAAAAAAGTTTGAAAAGCAAAAAAATTTTAAAGATAGAAAAAAGCTTATAGAATAAGGATATAGAGAAAGAAAATATTTTTGTATAATTGTACAATGTGTTTGAGACTAAGTATTATTACAAAAGAGTCAAACAGTTAAAAAAATTAAAACACTTATAAAGTAAAAGAATTACAGTAAGCTAAGGTTAATTTAATATCAAAACAAGAAAAAAAGTTTTTATAAACTAAATGTAGGCTAACTGAACAGTGTCTATAAAGTCTAAAGTAGTGTACCGTAATGTCACAGGTCTTTCTATTCACTCGCCGGTGACTCACTGACTTATGCAGTGCACCTTTCTTCTAGTCCTGCAAGCTCCATTCATGGTAGGTTGGTAAGTGGCCTATGCAAGTGTACCATTTTTATTTTTGTTATTTTTTAGAGACGGGGTCTCACTGTCACCCAGGCTGGAGTGCAGTGGCATGATCACAGCTCACCACAACCTCAAACTCCTGGGCTCAAATGATCCCCCTGTCTCAGCATCTCAAGCAGGTGGGACCGTGCCTGGTTAATTTTCTTTTCTTTTTTGTAGAGATGGGCGTCTCACTATGTTGCCAAAGCTAGTCTTGAACTCCTTGGCCTCCCAAAGTGCTTACAGGCGTCAGGCGCGAGCCACTGTGCCTGGCCCTTATAGAAGACACTTTAAAAACAGAGGTTGCAAATAAGAGGACAGAAAAACACATGCTATTTAAATGCTACTCAAAAGAATGCTTAAGATATTTTTTTTTTTCAGAGACAAGGTCTTACTTTGTTGCCCAGGCCAGAGTGCAGTGGCATTCATCATCATAGCTTACTGCAACCTCAAACTCCTGGGCTAAAACAATCCTCCTGCCTCAGCCTACCAAGTAGCTAGGACTACAGGCGCACTCCAAGATGCTAGCTTAATTTAAGAAATTCTTTTGTAAAGGCCGGGCACAGTGGCTCATGCCTGTAATCTTAGCACTTTGGGAGGCCAAGGTGGGAGGATTGCTTGAGGCCAGGAGTTTGAGACCAGCCTGAGCAAGAGCGAGACCCCATCTCTACAAAAAATAGAAAAATTAGCTGGGCCTGGTGGCTCGTGCCTGTAGTCCCAGCTACTCCGGAGGCTGAGGCAGGAGGATCACTTGAGTCCAGGAGTTTGAGGTTGCAGTGACCTGTGATGATGAATGCCACCTGCACTCTACCCTGGGTGACAGACACCCTGTCTCAAAAAAAAAAAAAAAAAATTTTGTGAAATGGGGTTTCCCTATGTTGCTTAGGCTGGTCTCAAACTCCTGGCCTCAAGTGATCCTCTCGCCTTAGCCTTCCAAAAGCTGGGATTACAGGTGTGAGCCACTGTACCTGGTCAAGACACTCTTAATGTCAGATAAAATAGGTTTCAAACAAGAAATAATATTATAGACAGACAAAAACATTTCATTAATGATATAAGTCAATACATTTATCAGGAAGGTATGATAAATGTAAATTGCCTAACATAGCTTCAAATACTATCAAAAACTGACATAATCTAAAGGTGAAAAAGACAAATCCAAAAGTAATAGAATATGAAAGAAATCAATGATGACTTAAGTAAATGAAAAAACATTCCATGTTAAGATTGGAAGACTTAATATTGTTAAGATGGCAATAATACCAAAGAGATCTACATATTTCATGTAATACCTATCAAATTCTGATGGCCTTTTTTGCAGAAATGGAAAGGACCATCTACAAATTCATACGGAGTTGCAAGGCACCCAAATACTCAAAACAATCTTGAAAAAGAAAAGCCAAGTTGGAGGACTCATACTCCCCAGTTTTAAAACTTACTACACAAAGCTATAGTAATCAAAACAATTGGTGTAAGTATAGAAATATATAATGGAGTAAAAGTGAGAGTCCACAAAAAAACCTTTACATTTATGGTCAACTGATATTTGACAAGGGTACTAAGACTATTTGATGGGAAAAGTAAAGTGTCTTCAATAAATGATGACAGAATAACTAGATATATACTCGCAAAAGAATGAAGCTGGACCCTTTCCTCATACCATATTTAAAAATTAACTCAAAATGAATAAATGACTAAATATAGGAGTTAAAAACATAAGATTCTTAGAAGAAAACATAAATTTTCATGACCTTGGTTTGGCAACAGATTCTTAGATAACGACACCAAAAGCACAAGCAACAAAGGAAAAAAATGAATGAAGTAAACTTTATCAAAATTATAAACTTCTGTATATCAAAGATGTTATTAAGAAAGTGAAAAGACAACCTTACAGAATGGGTGAAAATATTTGCAAATCACGTATCTCATAAGGGTCTAGTATCCAGAATATATTAATACAAAGAACTCTAACAATTCAACGAAAAAGGGCAAATAATATGATTAAAAAATAGTCAAAGGATTTGAGTAGACATTTCTCCAAAGATATACAGATGGTCAATGATCATCAGATAATGAAAAGATTTTTCAGCATCACTAAGTATGAGGGAAATTCAAGTCAAAACCACAATGAGATACCCCTTCACACCTACTAGGATGGCTACTATGAAACAACAACCAGAAAATAACAGGTGTTTTGGCAAGGATGTGGAGAAATTGGAACCCTTGTATTAATACATAGCTGGTGGGAATATAAAATGGTGCAGCTACTGTGGAAAACAGCATGGCAGTTCTCAAAACATCAAACACAGAATTACCACATGATCTAGGAATTCCACTCCCAGGTATTAATATATACCCAAAAGAACTGAAAACAGATACTCAAAAAAATACATGCACCTGAATGTTCAAAACAGCACTATTTATACCAGCAAAAAGGTAGAAACATCCCAAATTTTCATTAATGGATAAAAAGATAAATTGTGGTATTAATATATATGCAATGGTATATCATTCATACTTAAAAAAGAATGAAGTACTAATACATGTTACAACGTGGATGAACCTTGAAAATATTATGTTAAGTGAAAGAAGCCAGACACAAAAGGTAACATATTGCATGATTCCATGAATATGAGCTATCCAGAACAGGCAAATCCAGAGACAAAACCCACAGGCAGACGGGTGTTTGCCAGGGGCCAGGAAGAGGGAAGAATGGGTACTAACTGCTTAATAAGTATGAGGTTTCCTTTTGGGGTGATGAAAATGTTATGGAACTAGATGGAAGGGTGGTTCCCTAACATTGTGAATGTACCAAATGCCACTGGATTGTTCATGTAAAAATGGTTAATTTTATGTTATGTGAATTTCACTTCAATTAAAAAGATGCAAAAAAATCCCACAATTTCCAAAAACAAAAAGCCACATACAACTAAAATGACAGAATACGAATTCTTTTCCAAGTGCACATGTATCGTTCCAAGAGAGAATTTGTTATGGACCACTCAACAGAATCTAAAACACTGAAATCTTAGAGTTGGTTCTCTGACCACATATAATTAAAATAAAAATTAATAAGGTAACTAGAAAGCTCCCAAATACTTGGAAATTAACACACTTCTAAATAAGTCGTGGGTCAATAAAAGTCACAAAAAGAAAATATTAATATTTTGAACTAAATAATAACAAAAACAACATATCCAAATTTGTTGATGCACCTAAAATGGTGCTTAGAAATTTATAGCATTAAAAAACTTATATTAGAAAAGAAGAAAAATTAAATTCAATGATCTATGCTTCTACCTTAACCTAGAAACAAAGGATCAAATTAAACCCAAAGTAGAAGAAAATAATAATAAGAAAAGCAGAAATAGTTCAAATAGAGAATAAAATAATAAAGAAAATTAATGAAAGCATAAGTTGTTTTTTTAAGAACATCAACAGAACTCACAAATCTCTAGCTGAACTAATTATAAAGGAAAAAGAGGAGATCAAAGTCATCAATATCAAGAACTAAAAAGGGGGCCAGGCGCGGTGGCTCACGCCTGTAATCCTAGCTCTCTGAGAGGCCGAGGCGGGAGGATTGTTTGAGCTCAGGAGTTTGAAACCAGCCTGAATAAGAGCGAGACCCCGTCTCTACTAAAATTAGAAAGAAATTAATTGGACAACTAAAAATATACAGAAAAAATTAGCCGGGCATGGTGGCGCATGCCTGTAGTCCCAGCTACTCGGGAGGCTGAGGCAGGAGGATCGCTTGAGCCCAGGAGTTTGAGGTTCCTGTGAGCTAGGATGACGCCACGGCACTCTAGCCCAGGCAACACAGTGAGACTCTGTCTCAAAAAAAAAAAAAAAAAAGAATTAAAAAGGGGAAACCATTGCAGATCCTAAAGATATTAAAAGTACAATAAAAAATTATGAATAATTTTATGACCATAAACTTACAACAAAATGAAATAAACACAAACTACCAAAATTTATCTAAAAAGAAATAGGACATCAGAATAGCTCTATATTTGCTAAGAAACTGAATTTATAATTTAAAAACATTCCCTACAAAATAACTCCAGGTACAGATGAATTCATTGGTGAATTCTAGCAAACATTTAAGAAGAAATAACATCAATCCTACACAAACTCCTTCAGAAAACGAAAGGAGGAGAGAACAATGCCCAGCACATTTTGAGGCCAGTACCAAAGACATTACAAGCAAACTACTGACCAATATCCTTCATGAACATAGATGCAAAAATCCTTAACAAGTATCAGCAATACAGCAATATATAAAAAGAATACTGTATCATGACCAAGTAGAGTCTGTTTCAGAAATTAGAAGTTAGTTAAACATTCAAAAGTCAGTCAATACAATTCACCTTATTAATAGAATAAAGGAGAAAAATCACATAACTACCTTAATAGATGCAGAAAAACATTGGGAAAACTTAACACCCAAGCGTGATAAAGAGTCTCAGTATACGAGGAATTGAAGGGAACTTCCTCAACCTGATAGAGGATATACATAAAAACTATGCAAATAACATCACATTTAATGATGAAAGACTGAATATTTCCCCCTGAGAAACGAGGCAAGAATATGTATTTTCAAAACTTCTGTTCAACATTGTATGGGAGATTCTAGCTAGCACAATGAGGCAAGAAACAAAAGGCATACAAATTGGAAAGGATCATGTATATAGAAATAATCTTGAATGTAGAAAATCCTAAGCAGTCCACTAAAAAAACCCTACCAGAATAACCAAATTGAAAAGTCTACAGGTTACAAGATCAATATGCAAAAATCAACTTTATTCCTACATACTAGCAATTAACAAGTAGAAAATAAAATTTAAAAACATTTCTCTTTAGAATAGCATCTAAAAATATTAAATACTTCGGGATATATTTAATAAAATAGGTACAATATCTGTATAATGAAAACTGCAAAATACTGTTGAGAAAAATTAAGAAAGATCTAAGTAAGCGGAACGAGATAATATATTCCTGCATTGAAGGAGCCAATATTGTTAAGATGTTAATTCTCCCCAGACTAATATATTTATTCTTCAAATTCTATCATTTTATTTTTATAGCGTATTTACACCACTTATTGTATTTCTCTTAGGCTAATTAAAAAAATTTATCTCTCAGAGTCAGAAAAAAACTCAAAGGTCACATAGTTTTAATCATACAACTGAAATGTTTTCCTATCATGTGGTTGTCTAGCATGTGCTTGAAAATCTACAGAGGAGGGAAGATAACTAAATGCTTTGTTTATACACTCTCACAAATTCTCTCCATGAAAAATTTAAAAATAACCTCTTTGAGGTTAAAACTGATCTTAAATGATAGGCTCCCACGAGGGAGAAAAGATGAAAAAGTAATGTACCTGTGGTGATGGCTGCTGAATATATCCCTGCTGCTGGAGCACAGGCTGGCTGACAGGATGACCAGAGGCAGAATAGCCAGCAGTAGGGACTGGCTGCCCAGGCGGTAGGGGCGGAGGAGGAGGTGGTGGTGGTGGCGGTGGAGGAGGATGTGGTGGAGGGGCTGCCGTCATGATAAAACCAGATTGCTGTGGAGACTGAAGAACAACAGTGGACTGGAACATGGTGGCGTGAGGGTCAGAACCATCAGCGGATGGCTGGCGGGCAAGACTCATGTGGCTAAACTGAGACCCAAGGTTATCCTGTTAAAAAGGAAAAAAGTTAGAAATCAGTAAGCCTTCTACAATAGGCCAAATTTATCAAAGAAAAATGCTTTATATATTTAAATGAGTGGCTGTAGCATGTATTATGGAAATTATATATATTCACAACAGAAATGATGTAATAGAAGAGCAGCTTCAAGAAAATGATAACTCTAAGGCAGGAATATTACATGTCATTATAAATTATTTATAAAACATATCTAATGGAAATGTATAGCATGCAGAAAAGAGGAGGGTACAAGATATCACATTAAAAAATTAAAAGACATGTATTTAAATAAAGATTAAAGGCACATTAGGACATGGAAGTGAAATTGTACATATTAGCATTTTCTGAAAGAACTTCAAAGACCAAGCAATGAGCAAGGTACTAATTACTCTATATGTGAAACTATCTCCCCTCTTTCTAGAAGTCAAGATTCAGGTTCTGTGCATCTTTGTATCTCTAGCAATCAAAATTACTTGTAGAAATTAAATACATAAAATCCAACCACCTAGTCCTTTCTCTAATCTCAAAAATAATTTGGCCATAAATTCTACTCTTCCCTTGTGTTTTTCAGTCTGTTCCTAAAGTTAGATGTTAGAAAAATATAATCCAAATGTTAGGTTTCCTACTGCTTTTGCTAATTGGTAGCAACTAATGGTGCCCTGCCAAGATAGAGGTTATGATTTATGTGTCATCTGATAAACATTTCTCTGATTCAAAAGCAGAAGGACCAGCTCTTACTGTTATAGAAAATTATCACTAAAATGACAATATGGGGTTAAAATGGAATTCTTCTGTTCCCAAGGAGCCATGAATTGGCAACAAAATATACCACATTTTGTTCAGGTCAACACTCAAAAAAGTGACTTTACAACATTGCGGCAACTGAGTTGTCAGATCAAAGTTGACATGTCTACAGTTTCTAGAGTCTGCTTGTTTTTGTAGAGTATAATAAATTAAGGTTGTGGAAAAGATAAAGGATTGAAAAGGGGGAATCTGAAGATATATGGTTTTATTTTTTCCAAATTGTCACTCTGACACATTCTAGCACTATTAGCCTAATTCAATGGATGGTTTCAAAAAGAAAAAAATGTACCTACTAGCTGTAATTTCAAAGTTATATGGCCAAATGTTTTTAAAAGAGGTACCGTAACTGTATATCACTGTCAGAGTCACACTGGAAAAAAGTCATTTTCTTATTCCAATAAAAATTCCATTTTCCAAAACATTTTTGAAGCTTTTTTTGCTTTTCTTTTCTGTATGTTTTCAATCTTTTTTTTTTTCCTTTCTTTTTGTTATTTTTCCTTTTAACAGCCCTTGGAGAACAATCTTTTCAAGACTGGAATAATTCATTTTTTCAGACTGGAAGTGATTTTTTTTTTTTTTTTTTGAGACAGAGTCTCACTCTGTTGCCTGGGCTATAGTGCCGTGGCATCATCCTAGCTCACAGCAACCTCAAACTCCTGGGCTCAAGCAATCCTTCTGCCTCAGCCTCCCGAGTAGCTGGGAATACAGGCATGCACCACCATGCCCGGCTAATTTTTTCTATATATTTTTAGTTGTCCGATTAATTTCTTTCTATTTTTAGTAGAGACAGGGTCTCACTCTTGCTCAGGCTGATTTTGAACTCCTGACCTTGAGTGACCCACCGTGCCCGGCCTGGAAGTGATTTTGAAAATCATTCAGAGCCAAGGCTCGTAAATAGGTTGCCCCAGCTCAAAAGCAAACAAAAACACCTCTCAAAAAGAAAATGTTTCTAAAAAGTGTTAAGAAAGATTTTCATATATAGCTTATAATCTGACTTGGAAAGCAATTTCAAAATGTGACAGCCATATAGTCTGAAAAATAACAGTATCACTGGGAAAACTATACAGGCTGTTAGAGAAATTCATTTTAAGGAAAGGACACTAACATTTCTTGAATTACTACTTCACGTTAGGCACTATGCAGAAGGTACTTTATATTATTGTCCCATATGCTTAGTAACCATTGAAGGTCAAGCAGTTAAAACATAGCAGAGTGAGTCAGATCTTACTGAGAGTTATAGCTTGGGGCATACTTTGGATTAAAGGAGCTACCATTACTTTACAGACATAGACTAAATATCTAGAGATCTTCTTTGGAAACAGAAGGATGTCCTTTGTAACTGTAAGCTACAATTCATGCTAGTAACTTGTACTGAGTCTACTAGACCTACAGTGCTGGGGTGAGAATAGAAAGCCTAAACCCAGATGAAAGCTACCATCCAAGGACAGCACAGATCCTGCAATGACCTCAAAGAGAAAAATAACTAAAACATCTTAGGACTAGTCAACCTGGAAATTATTTCATTATGAAAAAGCAGAAAAAGATTAGAGCTTAAACAATCACTATAATAAGCCAACATAACTAATTTTTTATGGAAGAGAATAACTTATTTCTAATATGGATTAGAAACAACTTTTTTGGTAGATATGTATCCCTGACTTTAAAAAATCACAAAAGGTCATAAGCATTCATCACACATCCACCCACAGAAACAATGCAGGAGGTGAATAGAGATATAGTACCACGGAGTATTGCTGGGTGGGTGAGACTGGCAGGAGCGGGGATGGGTAAGGGACTGTAGAGTACTGAACAGGCTGTGAAGAGGACTGCAGAGGACGAACAGGCTAAAGAATAACAGGTTGGCAAACAATGTTAATGTCAGAATAAAAACTTAGAAAAATTGCATAAAATGGAAATTTACACTTTTTTTGCAATAGCTTTAATTACATTTAGAAAGTCATTTAAAATACAACAATACAGGAAACAACAAAAACAATACTAAGTGAAGAAATTCTACATAGTAAAACTTTTGAAAACATACATAATAAAAATATTTCTTTATTACAAATGAACTGAAACAGGTAATTTAGGCACTTCAAACCCTACATCTAACGAAGCCCCCCTGGTTAAGTCGGTAAAAGAAAAACTGCTTATCCTTATTCCCTGGTTTTATGAAAGGGCTGCCCTATTTAGCTATATAATATTTAATACTAAATTATAAATGAAAAACATTATTCTTTCTTATTATCAGACTAATAACTTACATAATATCTATGCCAATTACCCTATTTGATAAGGCATGATTAAATACTCTTTTGGGGTCTAAGTCCCAAAATTTTCGCAATTTTATAAAAATGTACTATGGATATTACTAAGAATAACAGCCTAAGGAACAACACACACATACATACAGACACATGCACACACATAAACATACCTCTTTTACATACATAAAAAGAAGATTAAACACTTTCTTGTAACTAAACACATTTTTATTAAGAACGTATATGTTAGCAGCTGAGAAACTAATTACATGAAATCTTTGGCCATTAGTGAAATACTCCTGAGTTTCAAGGAAAAAGTGTCTTTATGTGGGGCATAAAAATTCTTTTTTAAAAAGAGTGCCTGAAGGCCCTCAAAAATAGGTATTTTAAAAATAGAAAAAGTATTAATCCCTTCTCAATCCTGGGAAATATAGCTGGCCATCCATAAACTAACACTGGCACCCAATTTAATCTCCTAATCTTGTATTTTTCTAGTTTATTACAAAAAGGTAATTAGTATCCATATCAGCTTAAAGACTATAGTAATCCACTTTACAAATGGCAATCAGACTAAAGTAAATTAAGTGACCTGTAGACAGCCATGTAAGCAAGCAGATAATGACCACAGGTAATCTTATCTGATGAAAACTCTTACTTTTGGTTAAAATGCATATATATGAATCTCCCTCTGGACAGTATCTCCGAAGAGAATACTTTTATGGGGAAATTCTTATGACAACAAAGATATATAATGATGAGTCACACTTTTACCGCAAAAATCAACACAATAGTTTCTAAAAAAACTGAAGGCCTAGATTAGCTTAGAAGCCAGAAAAAAAAAAATCTAAAATTACGGTAAACACTAAAAAAAGTAAAAGCTAAAAGATCTATATAGTCGTCTCTGGTCCCTGACAAACTTTTTGACTAGAAACAAGCAAGCTTCCTAATGGATGATGGCACATATTACACTAAATGTGGTGTAGCAGCTTTAGAACTTCCAAGAACAGGCTATTTGATGTGTTATTAAGTGAGATAACCATTAAGACATAACTTTCTTCCAGACAACCTGACCTCCTATATAAATGTCAGATGAAACAAAAGTTTTAGCCTACTAGGAGATAAAAGAAAGAGGACTATGACTACCAAGAGTATGAATTAATGTCTCCCAGAGCATCAAAGAGTAATGAGAAAACTGAAAAGACTGACTGCTCAAACTAAATTTCTGACACCACTTAGAAAAGAAAAAGCCTTAGCACTTCCTTTTCCTACTTGAATTGCAATGGGCTGCAAAAGAACATCCACCTAAAGTAATTGGTTCTATATTGTATGTTCAAGAAACGTAGGCTATCTGAAGGTTTTGGAAATCAGAGCCTTCATTATCCTGTTTGGTTATTTGAAATCCCATGGATGAATTATCTCAGCGTGTGTAAAAGACAGTTATTGAGCACCATTTGTTCTTTGAGTCTCTGTTTCTAGGTTTCATGAAAAATTACCTAAAACATTTGAAGCAATGCTAGAAAAATCAGTCATGGAGTTTCATGCATATGTCAAGACTTCAAATTAGTGCTCACTAAAGTATCTGTTTCTAATCTAGGCTGCCTATACCTTCATTTAGAATTGTCTCATAATTAAATCAAAGTTATTTCTGAGATAATAATCTGAAATACATATTCAGAAATAAATCCTTAGAATTTTTTGAAGCTGCCAGATTAATATTATTTCCACTGAATTAAATAGAAATGAAACCAAATGAAAATCAGTCTTATGAAGCTCCTGGTGAAATACATAGCACTGCAAAGACAACTATATGACAGCAAAATAAAGAGTAAACTTTTGGCCAGGCACGGTGGCTCACGCTTGTAATCCTAGCACTTTGGGAGGCTGAAGTGGGAGGATCATCTGAGGCCAGTAGTTTAAGAACAGCCTGGGCAACACAGTGAAACCTCGTCTCTACAAAAAATAAAAAAATTAGCCTGGCATGGTAGAACCGCTTGTAGTCCTAGCTACTCAGGAGGCTGAGCCAGGAGGATCACTTGAGCCCAGTAGTTTGATGTTGCAGTGAGCTCTGATCATGCCACTGCACTCTAGCCCAGGCGACAGAGGGAGACCCTGTCTCAAGAAAAAAAAAAAAAAGAGGAAACTCTTTTGGACAAAGTTGAATGAAGCCAAGGCAGAGAAGGCCAGAGAAGGAGTTTTATGTAGTCTTAGTGCATATAACCAAATGGGGTTGGGAAGGGGATATGGGAGTCTTTGGAAATAGTTTTAGGCAATCTCTTCTACATATGTGAACTCATTTGTATGATCTTAGAAGTGTACCAAAACTTATCTGTGCTTCTACTTTCAAAAAAACTGCCTCGCCCAGTATTAACAGTCTTAATTGTCAGAGGTACAATTATTTTCATGACTTTCACATTATTGGATAACATAATTAAACTGCTCATATGTCCTTCAACCCTGCAATACAAATGATATCATTTGCGAGCCAAACTAATGAAATTTCTCCAGTTCAAGTTTATCATTATAATTCTTTTATAAGTAATTACTCTGTATGTTCTTACCAGTAGAATATTTAGATAGTCTTGCAGAGAAAAAGAGTGGTAACTAACTATATAAACTGTCTTTGACATGTTATACAATCTTTAAAAATTAGAATAAAGGTAAGAGTTTTTTACACTGGTATGACCCAGTTCTCCAAAGATGGATAACACATCTTGAGGGGAAAAAGACTAAATGTGAAGATGTATGTGTAAACTCTAAACATTCATACAAACTCAGTATATTATTAAGAGTACTTTTGGGAATTCTAACTAATAGAATTTCTTTGTCCCTCTCTCGCTCCTCGTAATGTAGGTGGAATGAATAGAGAGTACCTTGCAGAACATAAGTAACCCAGCTCAGTTTCTTCTAACTGCTTAATCTGTTGAATCTTTTTTTTTTATTTTTGAGACAGAGTCTCGCCTTCACCCAGGCTAGAGTGTCATTGTGTCAGCCTAGCTCACGGCAACCTCAAACTCCTGGGCTCAAGTGATTCTCCTGCCTCAGCCTCCCAAGTAGTTGGGACTACAGATGCACACCACCACATTCAGTTAATTTTTTCTATTTTTGGTAGAGACGGGGTCTCGCTCTTGCTCAGGCTGGTCTTGAACTCCTGACCTCAAGTGATCCTCTCAGCTCAGCCTCCCAGAGTGCTAGGATTATAGGTGTGAGCCACTGTGCCTGGCCAATCTGTTGAATCTTAGAACTGACTTTGCTCACTAGGCCAATGAACAATCTTATTAGTTTTGTTTTTATTTCTCCTCTTGTCCATTTCTTGCTGTTGTGAAGTAGGAATAAAATACTCACCAGAAAGGCTCACAACATTAAAAAAATTCCCCTTTCCAATATACAGTCAGTATTTATTAGATGAAAAGCTCTTGAAATTAACCCTCTCTTCCTATGAGTAGTGAGTGGAACATTGCTGGTGGCAGAAACTAAAGTTATAAGAGATACTTACTTGGGCTAACTCAATTATAATTAGTGAATTTAGTCCCAAATATGTAAAGGCAGTAAACTTTAGCATTATGTAATCATGGATATGTGCACCTGTGAGAAAATGTGATTAGCTGCTGGTTGTTGAGGTGGTGGGGGTGGCAGAGGTGGCTGTGGAGGTCCAGGCACTTGGGGTCTAATTGGTTGTTGAGTCATAGGAGGATTGTACACAACTGGACTCCCATCTGGGTTTATGAAGGGCTGACCTGAAAAATTTAAAGAGGAAGGAAAAAAACAATTTACAATAGAGACTGAAAACAAGTCATACTACTAACAATTTACAAAACATGTCCACGCCCTTATCCACAATTCCAAAACCTCAATTTTTTGAAAACCAAAAGATTTTCTTAGTTTGGGAAGCAGGCTTATCTGATATGAGACTATCAGTAATCTTTATTTTTTTCACTTAAACATTCAAATGTTTCAATGAAGTGTTTACATGGGGTGCTGCCTCAGGCCCTACTGAGATTATTATAATATGTAGTATTTTCTGAAAAACTCTGAATTATGAGACACATTTTGCCCATGGAATTCAGTTATAGGATTGTGGTCCTATAGGTCTGTAACAAAATTTATATTAGTTTAAAGAAAAAAATGTTTGACTTCAGGATACTGGAAAGTTACTCATTAGTTTTTATTAGAGGGAGGGAAATACCTGATTTTTAGGCCACATTGCATGTATTTCACTAATAAAACTAAAACTGAATGAAAACTGAAGTGACTGACAGCTTCAAACTTCAAATTGTGAACTTGATGGCATTGTCCTTATTTTATAACTTCTAATTTGTTAAAAGCTGTAATTTCTTTTTAATTCTAAATAATTTTCTACAATATCTTTTTTCTAAATTCCAGTAAGCTTTATTCACTAGTAAGAGATAAAAACATACAGAACTTTAGCATTGATTTTGAGGCTTTATCCTTATTCCTCACTAATTATTGAAGGGGAAAAAATGGGTATTTCATGCAACTAAGAAAAATAAATATTACTTTCTCTCTCTACAGATATATTCTAAACAACTTACTCTTATTATAAGTAACATTTTTATTGTAGAATAATAATCAACAAATAGAAATTAAAAAGAAAATAAACCCCCCATAATCTTACAGTTAACATTTTGGATACCTTCTTCCAGATATCTTTTCAATGAAGGTGTAAACAGATTCAAAGAATATTATTTTTCCTTACTATACACTGGATTATTAAAAAAGAAAGGACTACATGAAATAAACTGTTCTTTGACTTTTGATATCCACTTAATAAGAGTGAGAAAAACTGAGAAACACAGGAAAATGACTGAAAAATAGTTTCTTAAACGGCCTTCAAAACATCCTTTCTTCCATGGTAAACGCTTCCCATTTTTTTTATGGGGGAAATTTGTGATATATAATAAAATACTATTTGGGAGGAAGACCATACTATCTATAGCTATCAAGCAGAAAAAGTCTTCCGAAGTAAAATTATTTTGATCAGTTAGCATCCTGATCCTTTATGTGATGGTTATAGATAACTAAAAACAAGTTATGCTGAGTATTTGTTAATTGTTAAATAATTTAGAAAAAAATGGTACAGCAAATGTGGGTGAAGGCAGGGTCAAAAGTAATTTAAGGACTGTCTGAAAAAAGCTGGATGTGTTTTAACACTGTTCTCAAAAACCAAAGACATGCCCTTTGGATCCATTTAAAATTAAGCATACAATTCAATTTCAGGTTGATCAATTTCTCATTCTCTCACTTTGTAAGCAATTGAATCTTTCTTGTTACCAAAACCATATTAACCAATGTGTTTTAAATGAAAAATCATAGGAAACAGTAAAATATTAAACCATTTTATATAATGCTCCAGAACAGGAAGTTTAAGTAATACAAATACCTGAAGGATAAGAAGATAATTATTAAGCAAAAATGGAATTTAATTTCTGAAAAATCAGTTATTTATGCTAATTCAATTCTTATACTAAAAACAAATGTTTGAATACTTCATCTTAAAAAGAAATGTGAAGAAAACCTGAAAGTAATGAGTTCCAAATCATGGTTTTGTCTACTACAAACAAAAGGACGAGGGATATTCAGAAGCTTGATACTTTCACCTGTATCTGCCTTCCCCAATTACTCCCATTATGATGGGACCCCACTGGCTAAGTCTTTGAGTTTTAAAGTAAAGTTATTAAAAGATCAAAGATTATTTTCATTATTTTGCCAAATGATTGGGCTATGTTACTCTGAATAGAAACCAAGACTTGTGATCTTTTAAAAGATCATATTTTCTCTATATAAATCATTTTTGTCAAACTATATAGTGAAATATATTATAACTGCAGTTTCTTTACCTCTCTTGAGGTTTAGTTTCCATATCTGTAAATAAGGATTTCACCTACCTGAGTTGTTATAAAGATTATAAATAAACTATTGAAAGTACCTAACACAGTATATGGTACAACTAAATGTTTAATAAATATAAATTATTATTAGCTAACAACAAAGAATATGTATTATCAATATTAAGTCATAATGATTACCCATTTTCTTTTATTAATAATACGTCTTTAGCTTTTCCTCAGTAGAAAGCAAACAACACATCCTGAAGGGCAACTAATTATAGGTTTTTGCTACTTTATTATATAATGAAGAAGAGCTGCTTACTTGGTCCTTCTTCATAAAATGCATATTATTTTCCTCAGGATAAAACTGTTATATCAAATAAAGCTCTTTCAAAGGTGGTTGTCTCATTTCTAGGAAACGAATTGGTCTCCAATTATAGTTAGGCTATTATTTGGCCTGGAAGATGTCATAGATGTCACTAGGGAAAACATGCTTTCTGATATAAATATGTCTGTTAACATCTTCTAGCATAAGTGTTTTTATTAAAGTTCTCGGGAAAATGCTAACTGTTCATGAAAAATAAAAAGCTGACTGCACATATACAGAAAATACATTTAATAAGTATCCTTTAATTTTCAGATAATTCCTGAAACAACTTTTTCTGGATACCAACCTGTTTGTGGGTTGATCAGAATACTGCCAGGTGGTATGCCTGCCGCTTCCAAGGGAAGCAAAAAGAAGCTAGTGCTAGGAGATGCGACTTGCCCATTTAGGCCACCATCAAAGGAAAGAGAACTATGAGTGCTGACAGTTGGATAGACGACAGGTGCGCCATGAGAAGACTGGCTGAGAGCTGTACCTGGAAGAGGCTGCTGGATGTGAGAAAGAGAGCCTGTAGATGACCCTACACTACCAGAAGACTCAGAACCTAGAAGAGGAGTAATGAAAAATATGGATTTTTTAAACCTCATATAAAAACACAGGTTTTAAAAATGTAACAATAAAATTCACATTGCATAACATGCAGTTACCACATAAAAGCATCGGCTATTTTTGATTTACTGTCCAATTTTGCTTACCCTCCCCATCATGAACAAGTTTAATACAGCAAACTGATCACATAAGTTGTCAGAGAAGTCATAGCCAAAGCATGCAACTTAAGCAAGTTTATAATAACACCAGCCACAGACAGTCACAAAAAGCACATTACCCACATTCCCAAAAGGACAAAGTTATGTACATTTTACCTTTTAGATTAACACCTAGGAATATACAGATTACATTTTTCCCCCAGGAAAAAGAACTTAGCACAGCGAAATGCCCAAAACCTCTTATATCAGAAACCCCTTATCTATAAGAACACAGAAAGATTAAGAGTAGTGTAGGAAATAACAGAAATGATAAATTCTGTATTAAAAGAAATAATTACCAAGTTTCATTGTAGAATTTCATTTCTTAGTTTACAATCATAGCATCTTTCTATAAAGCATCAACTTTCAGTTTTCTATCTTATCAAGGGACAGAGACAACATGAAAAATATTCCAAGTACTTATATTAGCATCTGCTTAAAATTTATTTCTCACTGTACTTAATAAACTAATTTGATAATTGATTTTTAACTCCTTTCACACCTGCAATCTATTTCATTTTCTATTACACAGTGACCAAAATGTTATTCAGTTTCAGCATAACAGCTAAAAAAGGTGGCCAATGAGACAACGAAAGAAGGGGAAAAGATCTGGATAATATATATAGTTAATTAGGTTTTGAATAAGGGAGTTGATGCTGGGATGGAGAATTAACTTTAAGTGAATGAAATAAACAACTATGATACACTATACATTGCCTTCTGAAAGACAGCTTCTATTTTAAGTTGTGCCAACTCACTCTTGACAAGAACTGTACCAATTTATCCTAGGAATTTAAAAAAATCGTTTTTTACTTATTAAAAGAAGAATTAAATAACATTTCATCTCTCAAGATAATACAGATTATAAATAGTACATGCTCTTCAAATGTTTTAATTTGGCAATGTATCTAAATGGCTTTCTCATGATATATGAGTAGTTTTTTCTGTTATGATGACACAGTGACCATTTTTCATCTGCATATTTGGTACATATGCAGATTTCTTATATTCCTAAAAGTTACCTACCTATAGTATTATCCTAACATAAACACTAAGACAATTTTGATATAACCATGTTGTACATTAAAAAGGTGGCAACTATAATTCACAAGCCTTAACAATTTAAATCATTGATTCTAGTTAGGTATTAAAAAATACTGTTACCTTCAAACATACCCTTCAATTCTTATCTGCACAATACCGTATGTCTAGGGTAACCCCAATAGCTAGGGAGAAACAACTGTTTCTGACTTTTCATGCTTATTTTGGGATAAAAACAAACATCTATAAGTCCTAAAAGACACATAGCTTCTTTAGTATTGAAGGCAGTTAGTGAAAATGAAAAGAGAAAATGTTATGAGCCAATGTACTCTAAAAGAAAGCAGTTTAGGAGAATGAGGAGATTATGGAAATTTCCCATCATTTATAATAGTTATATCATATTGATTTTCTTTGGTTTTTAAATTCCTCAAAAAACTCTCAGCCATTTTTTTTGGAATGTCAAATGAAGGACTTTATCATGAAAAATGCAATCAATGTTAAATAATCCTAGGTGAGAAACCACACCTTACAACTATAAATAAGCAATGAAGAATTTCCAATCACGTATTAGGCATTCAAACAAGAGAGGACATTTGACCGAACCTACCCATTTATATCACCACAGACAAGAATTGTTATTTTAATTGATGTTTGTAAACCTATCTCCAGGACAGAAAGTGAATCCTAATGTCAGTAAACATATTACTCCTTAACTACTTTGGAGGTTGTCAATGAACTGTTGGTAGTGATTTTACATTTTAGGGTAATTAGAAGCCACGTGATAAATACAGAGCAAAGACAACACTAGGAAAACTAATGTCTTGACTGCACAGGTTTAGGTAGATTTTTATACCTGTTTTTGAAAGCCTGCCTATGCTTTTGCTGCTTCCAGAACTATCACCTCTTGTCAGGACCGAGATTCCACTGAAGCTGCTGGCTTTGGTTACGGCAGGTTTCAGGTTTCGGAGAGAGCTGTCTGAATCTGTGCTGCTCCAGGGTCGTGGTTCTGAATACTTCAACTCATTCTCAGTGCTGCTTTGATGGCTATTTGTTGATCTTCCTGAAGCATCTTTATTAACTCTGTAATTTAGAAGTAGAACTTTGAAAAGCTAATAGGGGGGAAAAAAAGAATAAAGAAAAAGTGCTTTAATTTTTCAACACTGTATTGAAAACATGCTTCTAATACCTGAATATCTGGCGCCTCTGCTGGGTACTACTAGCATCCTCATCTTGGAGTCTGTTGGCATTTTAATAAGATATTTTAATTTTTATTAGCACTGGTCAGACAGTTACCAAAACAGATTTTAAAAATTCCCTCACCTTTTGTCAATAATATAATTCTCTTGGGAACACAGGGACTAGAAAGAAAGAACAGATACATAAAGTTGAGCTTTTGTCAAATACATAATGCTATCTGTAAACCAATGATGACAACAATATGAGTAATAATGTTTAAAAAGTCCAAAATGTTGATAAGGGTACACAAATAAGTGAAAATGGAATTTCTTTCTGCCTTGGAGACACTATGCTTACTTATAACAGATAAATCTTGAAGCCATTCATTTTGTGGTCCAAATTAATTTGAAATTCAAATATTCAATTCCAAACAAGTGAACCCATTTTCATTGTCACATGTTCAAGGTATATGCCAGTCTGCAGATTCCACATCATTCACTTAATATCTGATCACCAGTGCTGTGGAAATAGCAGTGAATAAGCAGCTGTGCCTTAATGGAACTTATAGTAAAACTCCTCTAGCACTATTAACCTAGGTCAGGCAATGATCTTTTTGTTTGTATTATTATAACAGTCTTCTAACTAGTTTTCCAGCTAGCAATTTTTGCCTTTTTCATCCATTTTATACAACAGAAGCTACAGCAATGTCTCCTAAAATGTCGATCTGATCATACTTCTTCCCTCTTGAATGGCTCCCAGATGTTTTAGCACAGGGGTCATCAAACTACAGCCAGCTACCTGTTTCTACAAATAAAGTTTTACTGGAACACAGCTATGACCACTCATTTATGAATTGTCTATGGCTGCTTTCACACTAAAAGATCAGATTTGAGTAACTGTAATGAAAATAAAGACTATATGGCTCAAAAAACCTAAAATATTTATTATCTGGCCCTTTATAGAAAAAAATGTGTTGACCAAAAAAATGCCAAAAGTCCAAAAGAGCCAAAAGTCTAACCACCTTAACAAACTTTCAGGGCCAAGTCACCTGTTTCCTGATTATTTTTCCAATCTAAACTTTTGTCACTCCTGCACCACCTAGGCTGTAATCTAACTACTCTGAACCTTGAGTCCCTCACATGTGTCAAGTTATCCCTTACCTCTGGGGCTCTGCAAATACTGACCCTCTACTTAGAACTCTTCACTCCGGTAGGTCTCCTCTTGGAAGCTAACTCTCTTCATCCCGTACCCAGTTCTAATTTGTGGTGCTTTTCTGCCATGTCCCATGGGTTTGTGGTGCTTTTCTGCTGTGTCTCCTAATATACCTTCATGTCTCTATATAAAATATATACCATACGTCATTACTGGACAACTTACCAAGGGCAGAGACCTCATCTATCTAAACTAGACAAACAGAAGTAAATCTAGTACTTCAGCAGACCTGGGCTGAAATCCCAGCACTGCTATTTTCTAGCTGTGTGATCTTTGGCTATTTTATTTTACTTAGCCTCCTGAAATCTCAGTTTCCTCATCTGTAAAATAAAAACAATGATAGTATCTACCGTACAGTGTTGTTTTGGGGATAAATTATTGTATCTGTCCATAGATATGTTAGCACAGCACTTACCAAAGATGCTCAATAAGAGTTGTTGAATGAATGCTATAAATTATTAACTGATGGTCTGGATTTTAATGTTATTTAATCTGCTTTGTAACACAGAGGAAATTTCTATCTGTGGCAGTGTTAATACACATTAAATACATTCATATATTCTTGAATGGTACATAGTACTGCAAAGAATAGATGCTAAACAAATGTTGGTAAAACCAAACTGACTCCCTTCTGGTATATATTCATAATATATTAACCATTTAGAAGACCTCTCGCATATAATCACTTGTAAAGTAGAAAAGAAATATTAATCTAAAAAATCAATTAGCTTTATTTTAAAAGAAACAAGTTATTTGTTAAGGAAAGTCCACTAACAAGTAGGATTTAGAGATATGATTTTGTAGATAGTAGACCAATGTTCTAAAAAATCTCAAGTCTATTAGAAGTATGAAAAAGAATGAAAAACACACAAACTATATGCTCAGTCCAATAATCTTCAATAACTCTTATGGTACATTTGCTTCCAACTTTTGTAAAATTTTATGTAACTGTTGCAATATAGTATTTTATAAACTATTAAATTATTAACACAAATAAGACAGGTCTCATTATTTCTAAAAGATGACCTTATATGTAACAAATACGATTAAAAATAAATGTGATCAGGCCAGGCACAGTGGCTCATGCCTGTAATCCTAGCACTTTGGGAGGCCAAGGCGGGAGGATCACTTGAGGCCAGGAGTTCGAGACCAGCCTGAGCAAGAGCGAGACCCGTCTCCACAAAAAAATAGAAAAATTACCCAGGCATGGTGGCACGAGCCTGTAGTCCCAGGTACTCGGGAGGCTGAGACAGGAGAACTGCTTGAGCCCAGGAGTTCAAGGTTGCAATGAGCTATAATGAGGCCACCCATTTCAGCCTGGGTGACAGAGCAAAACTGTGTCTCAATTAAAAAAAAAAAGTGATCAATAAATTATAGGGGGAATGAGACCCTCCAATGCAATTAGAATATATTCTAACATAAAAACCTAAATATAGGTTAGTACATACATCTTGGGAAAATATTCGGTCTCTAGCTCTCTGGTACTCTTCTTCTCTTTCTTCTATAGATTTGCTTCTTCTGTCATCTTTCAAACGTATTCTCATCTAAAGAAAAGAGAATAATTAATTATTAGGAAAATGAACTACTGGTATATAAGTCTTGCACCTGTAAAAATGCTATTAATTGTTCCAGATTACCTGGGTGTCATCTTTGTCAAAGCTAGAGTTATCTCTCTTGAGGATATACCGTTTCTGAAAGTCTTCACCTTTATCATCCTTAATATGTTCATTAAATTTCTGATCAGGTCTAAAAAAAACACAAAACAAAGGAACAAAAAAAAGGTAGCGTACAATGTTTACAAAAAAGTCAAACATAACATTTTATGAAAGTAGTAAGCAATAAAAGTTACCACTTATTAGTGACATTCATAGATAACTTATGTTATCTCATTTAGTCCTCACAATAATCTCATGAGAAAATACTAACTATCCCATGTTATGGTTGAGAGGCCAAATCAAATACAGCATGGGTTCTGGAGTCAGACTGCCTGGGTTCAAATATTAAGCTTTACCACTCTAGTTGTTCTATGACTTGCACAAGTCACTTGCCCTTTCTATTTCCCAGTTTCCTCACTTGTAAAATGGGACTTATACAGGGTACCTACTTCATAGGGTTGCTCTGAAGATGAAAAGTATTAATAATACATGAACAACAACACATAAAACAATAAACACTCAGAAGTTTGTTGTCATTATAAACATTAGTGAGAAAACTGAGGTTCAAATGGCTTAAGCAACTGTGCGAGGTCAAAGGGCAAGCACATCACTGAGCCATAGCTGGAGCCCAGGTCAGTCAGACCCAAAGCCTATACTTTCTTTTTGCAATGCATCCTCTTACTCTATGAAAAAATTCTGGGACAAAGAAGAAAGTACAGCACTGTATCTCATATCACTCCTACCATTCCTAGTTTGGTGTCATACAAAATGAAAATAATCAAATATTTTGTGGTTGAATTAACTAAAAACTTAGTGACTACTTCAAAATGCATTCAAGTTACCAAGAATTCTTAATTACAGCAGGGCACAGCTTTGTTTTACTTTAACTGAAACAGGTTAGAAAAGAGAAGTTCTTTTTTGAAGGTTAACGTTATAACCTGGAATAATGAATAAGAAATCTCAGCAATACATTTTATAGTGGATTGGTCTTTTCTCTGTGGAAATGTGGCAAGTTCCACTGAGATCTAGAGGACAGACACAAGGTTGTGCCTTGGAAAATTACAATGAGATAAAATTTCACCTCCCAAAATACACTCTCGGCTTCAGCAAATTAATTCAATCAACATTATCATGACTTAATATCACTGTGTTACAAAATTAGAATTACTCTTTTGAAATATATGGTATACAAAAACATATTTAATGGCTATAAAGAAAATCTAATTGAACTCCTAAGTATTACTTTTTTACATATAGTTCAAATATCTATTACATAGTTACATAATATATGTGAATACCCTAAGTAAATTTCTAATCCAAATAAACCTGAGTAATGACATTTTCAGCAAACTTCATTATATACAGGACCAAGTAACACTTTGGGATATTTGTTTTAACCTGGTAAATTTTTAATAAAGTACTGTAAAAGCCTCCTGTCAAATTATGCAAAAGAAGATTTAAAAATGAGAATCATCTAAATTAAAGAAATCTCTCATAAAATAGATTAGTGAAACAGAGAACAGATATCCACATAAAGCTATATATATAATTAAAGAAGAAGGAATATAAAAGAGTAAAAACAGCTTTGTGACCAAAATAATAAGAAAAAGATTGCTTTCGTCAGGGGTTTGAAAGATTCTCTATTTAGTTCTGACAATGTTATTTTTGTTACATGACTGCCCCCCACTTACTTATATCATCTATTTTTGTAGCTGTTCAAAGTCACATTTTTTTATTCAAGGAGTTTGTACTTGAGTGAGAGCTTGCTTGCTATTCCAAAGTGAACTATAAAAAGTTTAACCAAGAGCCTGGCAACTTTTCTAAGAGCAGCTGGATTCCCACACCAAATAGCACTGGCAGGCATTTCAGCTAACCTTAAGACTGTCTTACCTCTTTCTTTTATAGATGCCTGAATTTACTGCCCTGCAATCGCCAACTTCCCGCTCCATTGAGACACCCCAGTGGACACCGGGTTGTTGACATCCACAACACCACTGGTTCAAGGCTGGAGCGGGTAATCTCCCTATGAGGAAAAGGTAAGTTTGTTTTTATTCAATGTGGAGCAGATCTCTAAGGTTTTCTGATTTGCAACCTTCTTCATATCCCAGAAGATATAAAATAAGAATACAGTGTAACTTCAATGATCTGAAATGTCTAGTAATAATTACATTATTGACCCATACTTCTTTAAGTACATTATGAACATTTCTGTTTAGCCTAATTTTTGATTACCATAACGAAGAGAACCCTAAAGCTTTGTGACATTATTCAGAAAATTCAAATAACTGAGGTTACACTGTATTGAAAACCTTAGAGAGTCACCAGTCAAAATGTTAGTCAAAATGCCTGCTAATGTACATGTTCTTGGGTATCCAGCAGCTCTGAGTAATGTTGAAAGGTACTGGTTAAATGAATTACAGTTCTATTCACCTATAGTTCAGATCATACCTTAATGGTCACTATCCTACTTCAGCCATGGGATATAACTAATTAGAGAAAGACTAATTGGTAAGGATATTTTTTAAAGACTAAGGGACATGAACATTTAAATCTTAATGAAAATTTTATCAGACTTGCATTTTCAGGTAACATTTAATCCCTAAAGAAAGAAAGGACCCTTTTCTAAGACATCTACTTTCGTTAATTTAATTTTAATTATGGGAACAGTCATTTAAAAATACTAAATATATCTACTTAGTTGATAAGAGACTATTTGAAATGGAAGAAAACCAACTTAGTCCTAGCAAACAATATGGCAGCTATAACGGTAGAAGGCCATTATAACAGAAGGGACTTAGATGGAATAAACATAACCATGCAAATCAAATAGTTCATAGACAAGACCCTGAGAGAAATCTGGCTTCAGGAAAGGCATAAAAATAATAAACCAAAAAACACTATTTATGGCATCTGAAGTTGACTGCTATTTATTATGACAGAACTGTTACTGCCACATATGAAACTGACATAGAAAATCCTTTTGAAAAATCAAATAGAAATTTTAGCTGAACTCTAATAGTTGTTTTAGGATTAGCCTTAGAAATAGGCAGAAGAGGTGCTATGCACATTTTATAACTTGGGTACCTCTGCATTGGGCCTTCTGCTCCCAAATAACAGCACCGATGGCACTGAAGATCTACCTTACCAACACTATAAAGCAGTTACTTTGTAAAGCAAATGGCTCCTCTTAACTCTTTATAATTTTTCCTCAGTAAATTACATATAGCACAGGAAGGGGACGATGCAACAGCATTATGGATGGTACTGTTTTAACCAACAGCCAACATCTTGAGATTTGTGGGAGAAAAGGAGCCAAACCGGAACCTTTTGGAAAGGATGGTAAATCGATCGACGATTAATTAAATGTGAGGGTGTCAAACACAAATTCTGCTCTTGTTCTCTCTAGCTTTCAAACAAATTTGCCTGAGGATGACCACACTATCTAAATTACATTGATTAAAAAAAAAATCCATAAGAGAGTGGTTGTCAAACGTCACTGATACTATGTCCTCTGAGTTTTTGTTTTTTCACCGTGTGCCCAGTCCTCATTCACCTCCCTTGAGTCCAGGCTGGTACATTTTCTTCCTAGTGAGCTAACTGCATTTTTTGGTCCTATCACACATATAAGGTTATCATGAAACTTAATTAGACTGCTAAAATTAATCTGGAAAACCTCAGACGAAAGGTGCTGTAGGAAGATAAAGTATTATGACATAGATATGTAACATTTACCTATATGTCGACACTTACATTCTTGTATTGCTAGTTTTGTTTACTATGACAGACTTTCCACTCTGATCAACATTGTGGTCTAATCCAAAGTAAGCAGCTACTCTGTGTAACAGCATCCTATGGTAAGATGTCATTGGGGGGAATTTTTTACGTAGAGACCTAGAAGTAGAAGAAAAACCAATTTAGTAAGCCAAGGAGAACTATGATGACAATTTGTTTTCTTGTTAAATGTCAGGACTTACTCATTATTACCAATGAAATCTAAAATTTCTTGTTCCAATTTCAGCAGCATCATTCTGTCCCTGAAACAAAGTACGAAGACTCTTACAACAGTGAAGTAGTCACAAATGTCAACATGCTATGACTTTAAATGCTAATTTTTTCCCCTAAAAACTATACATTCAGGACTACCACAAGCTTGATACTAGAATATTTACATGTTTTTCTATAAATGTACTGTTTTAAAAGAGTAAGAGATAATTTTCAGTTTAAGCATTTATTATGGACATTTTCACGCATACACTAATGTACAGAATAGTGTAATGAACCTTGATGTACTCATCACCCAACTTTAGCAATTAGCAACATGTGGCCATTCTTAAATACATTTTGATCTGCTAAGTTGAATCACTATATTAGAGTTTGCTCTGTAAATATACGGATAATAAAAGTGTATCAGATTTTATTTCCTCATTTAGTAAAGCTGAGAGGTAGCAAGAAAACAGACATCTTTAGTTAAACTCATGACTTTGTTATCATGCTGAACTCCATAGAAAGAGTACTCTAAAGAACATGCAATGCCAGTTAACAATAGAAATATTCCTATGGGAATCCAATGCTAGTACGTTGATGGGACGATAGGAGAAGTAACATTACTACCTCTAAATTCAGAAAAGGAGGTCTTCTCAACTCATTCTGTTAATTGTTATTATATTTTTAAGTCTTTGGGGAAAATTTCTCATAAAAATCAAAGTGACCTAAAGACCTCCAACATAGGAAATAAATAAGGACTCTAGGGAATACTTGCATGGGATCCTTTAGATCACTAGGGTCCTATTTAGTGTACTTAGGCTGTAACAAATTAACAGTCCCACTCCCCAAAGGACTCCCTTGCTCACACACCAAGAACATGGCTCCAGAGTTTTCCCATACTTACTGGAAACTCCATATGCATGTAATAAAAAAATACAACTAAGAACCTTAAAGCTAGAAGTAGCTTTATAGATCATTCAGTTCTGTCTTCCAAATTTTATAGATCAAGAAAACAAGGCCAAAGGTTAATGATTCTTAAAATAAATACCATACAGATTTTCTAATTTTAATTTAAGAGCTGGTAGCCCCTGCAAGTCTACACATCAGCTCTGAATTTGATCCTCCCTCTATATTGCAAAAGAAGTTTCATAAAACTAAGTCATACCCTTCCCCCATTCATTCAACAAATATTTAATCATACATTTTTATATTAGTTAAAAAAAATCAAGAGAAAAACATGCCTACCTGGTGATTTCAAACCCAAAGCTGAAAACAGGATTACATTTTAACACAAATTCTAGCAACATTCAATTATGCCCTCAAATCTGATTCTCCTTTAGCATTCCTTATCTCAACAAGTGGCACTACCTTCCACCTAGTATATCATATCAGAACCATGAAAATTTTAGGCTTGTTACCATCCTTTTTCTAATCTTCCTATCCAGTTAATTACTACTACAAATTTTATCTATCTTCTATTTATTTTTCCACTGCCACAACTCTGTACCCAAGCAATCAGGACCTCTGGCTTGACTATGGAACAGCAGTATATTGCCTCCTTTTATCTTTCCCATTCCCTTCTAACTTTATGTGGAGCATGCATGATGACTTTTTAAGAGCGCATGTGTGACCACACATCATTCCCTTGGTTAAATTTTCACGGGTTTCCCTTAAAACTAAACATTTGTAACATGGCCTACAAGACAGGCGTGAGCAGGTCTTCATCCAGCTCCAGCCTCTTCTCCTGACCCTATCTCACAAAATTCCTATCAGCCTGTCTTAGCTCTGTACTTGCCAAGCTCCTTTCTAAGTTTCCTTAAACATGCTATTTCCTTTGCCTGAACACCCTCTTATATTCTTTCTTAGAACCCATTTCTTTCACACTTTTAACAGTATTTAACACAATTATCATTACATAGTTATTCAGATTATTTGTATACAACGAAGGGCTCAACAAATATATTGTGCATGGAATAAATTAATAAAATTATTTTATCTAGAAGTTCTTCTAATATTCTTTTTTTCCTTAAATTTTTAGAGCCCCTTATGAAGTAACCTTACGAAGGAGAACCTTTCAAAAAAGATTTATGTACTTAACTGTAAAACCTTCTTTTGTCTAAGTTTTTGGGGTCAATTTATCTTGAGATAATATTTTTAGTAACTTTTATGATATATTTTCTCATAAATATTTACTGCCTTATTTAAAAAAGAGAGACTCTGAGGCAAGCAACTTATTTGGAGTTCACAAAACAATGCATTTAAATTGGTTTTCTGTGTTTGAACTAAATAGCAGGTATAAGATATTTCAAGGGTGGGCAGTGGTTCATGCCTGTAATCCTAGCCCTCTGGGAGGCCAAGGCATGAGAATCGCTTGAGGTCAGGAGTTCCAGACTAGCCTGGGGAAGAATGAGACATGTGTCTACCAAAAATAAAAAAAATAGCTGGGGGTGGTGGTGCATGCCTGTAGTCCCAGCCACGTGGGAGGCTGAGCCTGGAGGATTGCTTGAGCCCAGGAGTTGGAGGTAGCAGTGAACAATGATGACATCATGGCACTCTAGCTCAGGCAGCAGAGTAAGACTGGCACACACACAAAAAGAATATTTCAAATGTTCTTCAGTGAGTGCGCTGCCATTGAAAAGAAATTTCTATTGTCTTCACGAAAGAAAATAAAATCTAACAATTTTACTAGCCATTAGTACAAATTCAGGCTTTTCCCCACTTAACATGTAAATCTATAGATTACAGAGGATTTTTTTTTTATCATTATCTGGACCACTTACTATTAATATTTAACCTAAATTCTTCTGCTTTTAGTAGAACTTTTAGATAAATGAGAGTAATAACTTTCCTAGGGTCTTAAGATTTACACCTCCTGCCTTTTATGCCCTGTAGCTTAGTCTAAGCTTTCAGATTTTCAAATCTGTAACTGAGGACATATTTTGGTAATGGTCATAAGTTAAAAATTAATAATCCTTTATAGAGGCACTACATATGGGATTCAAACTCTAATAGGTCCACAAATTACTTTTCTTAAGGTAATGTTAATGGTTACCATATAAACCAAAACATCTAGAAGTGGGCACACTTACTGAAATTGTTATCGTATAACCTTTAAAATGAACCAATACATGCTATTATTAGAGAGCTAATAAAAACAAGGATTCTCAAGCATGTTGACCAATAAAGTACTACTTAAAGTTAAAAAGGAGGGGAAGGCCAGGTGCAGTGGCTCATGTCTGTAATCCTAGCACTCTGGGTTTAGGTGGGAGGACAGCTTAAGGTCAGGAGTTTGAGATCAACCTGAGTAAGAGCAAGACTCTGTCTCTACTAAAATAGAAAAAATTAGCCAGGTGTGGTGATGTATGCCTGTAGTCCCAGCTACCCGGGAGGCTGAGGCAGGAGGATTGCTTGAGCTCAGGAATTTGAGGTGGCTGTGAGCTAGGCTGATGCTACAACACTCTAGCTCAGGCAACAGAGTGAGACTGTGTCAAAAACAAATAAATAAATAAAATAAAATAAAAAGTAAAAGAAAGGGGCAACAATTTTTTAGTTACTAGTGTTCTAGTGATTATATCAGAAGTAACTTTAGAGAAAGAGTGTGTAGGTGGTATACCAGTGGGAAATAAAAAAATCAGAAGACAATAATGCTTCTATCTGATCACTTTCTACCTAACATTTCATATGCCCTTGGTCAAGCCTCTGCAACAGATAATAAATAAAACGACTTAAACATTACTTCCAAGAAAAGTGATTTTTAGAAAATATTTCAAACAGGACAATTACACGATGTTTCCAAGAGCAAAACAAATTACTTTAAAAATAATCCATTCTCAACATTAATCTATGGGGTTGCTCCCCTCCATTAGTTACCTAATATACTTATGTGTATTATCCATATTTCTTTTCTGCCATGTATACTACTAATTGTGTGCCATGTATATCTGGCAATTACCTATGTGCTTCACTTAGAGAATACTGAGCCATTTATTAAGCAATCCTTATTTCTCATAAAATTTAACATTAACTTGAACTTCCCAGACTCACAGTGACATTAGTAATAATACATTAGCCATTACATGAATTATTCACCTGCATATTTTCTCAAATAAAGATGATTATACACAGAGAAGTAATAAACTGCTGATACATGCTACAATATGGATGAATCTTGAAAACATTAAGTGAATAAAAGCCAGTCACCAAAGACTATATATTATATAATTTTAATCATATGAGATGTCCAGAACACAGAAATCTACAGAAACAGAACACAGATTAGGTCTAGGGATAATCTATTATTATTACTACTACTACTATTATTATTATTAGCATAGGGATAGCTAAAAGGTATGGTGTTTCTTTTTGTAGAGATGAAAAAACTCTAAAACTGACTGTAGTGATAGTTGTACATGTGTGAATATACTAAAAACCTACATTAAATGTCCATGCAGATAACTTAAAAACTTTTGCATTTGTAAAAGAAAACATAACTGTACTATTATGCATTATTTTCTACTGAAAAAATAATTTAGAATGCATATACATGGATTTCTATTTGATAAAATGACTTCTTTTCCTTTGGTTAGATACCCAGTAGTGGGATTGCTGGGTTGAATGTTAAGTCTATATTTATTTCTCTGAGGAATCTCCATACTGTTTCCGTAAACAAATTACTACAGGCTGTAGTAATTTGCAGCCCCACCAACAGTTTATAAGTATTCCTCTCTCTCTGCACCCATGTCAGTATCTATTGTTTTTTGACTTGTTAATTAATGCTCATTCTGACAGGGGTAAGGAGGTATCTCATTGCATTTTAATTTGCATTTCCTGGATGATTAGTGAACTCAAATGTTTATTATAGCATTATTCACAACTGCAAAGATGTAAAATCAACCTAGGTGCCCATCAATTCATGAGTGGATTAAGAAAATGTGGTATATATATACCCATGTATATATACATCCATACATATGCACACACACCCCATAGAGTACTACTCAGCCATAAAAAGGAATGAAATAATGTCTTTTGCAGCAACTTGGATGGAAGCGGAGGCCATTATCTTAAGTGAAGTATCTTAGGAATGGAAAAACAAATATCATATGTAAATAACTGGGAGCTAACTAATGAGCACATACGGGCACAAAGAGATATAAAAGTCACTGGAAATCAAGGAGCGGAGAGGGGTAGGGGTAAAAACTTACCTATCAGGTACAATGAACACTATTCAAGTGATAGGCACACTAAAAACCCCAACTTAAGCATTATATTAATAAAAGGTATCCATGTAAAACATTTGTACTCCCTTAATATTTTGAAATTAGAAAAAGAAAAAGATAAAGCCTTGCTATGATTACAGTCTTTAAAAGTAAAATCTGATTAATCATTTCTCAAGCTGGAAATGAGAAAGAATAATCACCTTTTAAAATATACATACTGTATTGGAAATCATGCATCAAAGTGACTGTCATGTCTTCAAAAATAAGCAAATACAGGAAAACCAGATCCTTTCAAAAATAAAAAAAAAAGGGATTCCTAATCTTTGTCCCTTGCTGATGTCTTTCCTACATGCTCACAGAGAAGAAAAACTCTGCCTATCTAGGTTTCTATTATGTTTTACTCACACTAGCTATGTATTTCCTGCCTTTCCACTTATTCCTCAATCCGCTGAGTTCTGATATCCACCTTTCAACTCCAAATGAAATGAGTTGTTAAAATAGCCAACGACTTTCTAATTTCCTAATCTAATTGTTTTTGGTACTTCTATTTGCATCTCCCTTTGTTATTTTATTTTCCATGAAGCACTTACTCTTTGGTTGACTTCTAAGACAAGTGTTTTCATGATTCTTCTGCTATCTTTAGGACTCGAGTCTTTCCCTTCTCATCTACCTTACAAATTTGTCTCTCCACAGAGTTTTGTCCTTGTCATTTATTTCATTTCTGGGCAATCCCTTCCATAGCAAGCTTCACCTCTACTGATGAATGTGTAACTCCAGCCTGGTTCATTCACTTGAAAACTAGAGCCTTTTAACTGATCATAGACCTCATCTCCCGTCTCCCTGTTGGGTATACTCCATTCCATTCATGATTGCCCTTGATTTACTTGCTCAGTTACAGGGACTAGCTGTCTGTCCAGCTAGAAATGTAGTGGCCATTCTATTCTACCCTACTGTACCCATTACCTTTCCATATATAAATGATCATCAAGTCCTATTGTGGTACTTCCTCAATATCCTTCAAATGTGTCCTTTCCCCTCCATTGTTTTCTATGGTCTCCTAACCACTCTCTTAGCTTACAGTCTTCTCTACCAAAATAATCTTTCTAAAATGCCAAAGTAATCTTTCTACAACACAAATTTGACTATGGTAAATTACTCCTCAACTTAGTATGCCATTCTGAGTATTTCTCAACTGGTACACCATTGGCATTTCAAGTAAGACAAGTTTTCATTGTTCATTGCTGCCTTACTTTTTTTTTTGTTTTAAGCATCCTTAGCTTCATAGTAGCACTCTACACTCATTGGGACAATCGAAAGGTCCCAGCACATTTCCTCACTGCCTCAGGGTGTCCTCAGGACACCCTGGACATGATCTATGCTTCATACCTCACCAGTACCTTCCCTATCACTTTCCAGAATCACTTGCCACATGCCTCCTTGCAAGAGCCAGAGGATACAATCTTGTCTTCCCTTGGATACAGCATTTCCCCTCTCACACTACTCTGTCTTGGTAATGCTCTTGTCTCTATGTGGAATGCCCTTCTCATGTCTCTGTATGGACAGCTCCCATTTAAAGTACTCTGAATTCAAGCCTCAGCTCAGGCACTACCTTTTCAGTGAAGCCTTCCCAAATCCTTTCAAACAAAGGTTGGGGTCCCCTTTTTAGCTTCTATAGCACCTTGGATAAACCTCTTTTACAACATTTGTTCTAATTTTAACTACTCATCATGTCTTTTTCTAGCACAGAGATGGTGCATATTTCATTCAGTGTCAGAGATAATATCTTATTCATCTTTATATCTACAATGTTTGGCACATGGTTAGACACTCAATAAATGCCTGTTCAACGAACTAATGAATTCATCTATCTGCTGGGACTACTGAGGAATAAACTTGAAGTGGAAAAAAAAAAAGTCATACACAGTTGCCTATCTTCCCTCTCACTCCATAACTGTGATCCTTGAATTCCTATTATAAGGAGACCATTTTTCATTTGGCGGTTCTCCCTTTGGGGTTTATATTATGTACAAAACAGAAAATCAAGATGGCACTGAATACAATAAATCCTGAATGAAAATGAAGGTTATCCTGAAGCAAGACTGGACATGAAATAAGCCTCAGTGAGACTGAAGAGACTTGTTCATGTTATCTTCTATATGCACATATCCAGTGACATTATTTTCTTTTTATTTCAATGTATGTCAAATAACTATCACTCTGGAAAGCTAGTATCTAGAAAAGGGGCTCTTAACTTAACCTGGTGTGTTTTATCCTATGAAAGTATTGCTCAGATATTTTGTGGATAGCCTTTTTGTAGGGAGAATGCCTCGAAGTGGTTGATCACCTGCCAAAGAGTCATCAAACTAAACTACTCATTTAGTACGTTAGCAAAACAAAGGATTCCACAATTAGTTAAAGTACTGACTCAAATAAGCACCTTAATAATTTTTGCATTTAACGTTTATATCATAAACTCAGCAAAAAGGAACAAAAATTCTGCATTTAACTAAGTTCGAAACCTCACTCTGAATATACTAACTTCTTATTTGGTTGAGTGCATTATGGTGAGATATTTATTTTTCTTTCTTTTCATGACTAATGGTATCTCCCTCTCTCTCAATTAAAAGCCTAAATATCATGGTGATTCTCTACTTCCCAAAATTCCTACAGAGTATGAATTATTTTTACATCATAGTGACATGCATAATGCAAAAAGATATTTATACGTGTGCATATAGTAGACCAATATCTTAGTCCTAAGAAACTAAAATGTTTCTGGTGTACTTCAAATCTCTGCAAACTTATTGTAATACTCTAACTCAATAATGAAAACATATATAGCAAAATTATGGTACTCTAGAAGCAATGTAAACCTTATAAATTTAATTTTTACCTGGGATTGTTTTTTAATGTATTTACTAAAAATTCATGTAGATCTATGCCAGTTGAATCAGTGTATTCTTGACTGGAATCTAAAAAACAACAACACAAAAACCCAGCATAAAGTTGTTTGAAAACAAATCCCTTTCCCTTTTACACATGATGTATATCTTCAATAAAACGAGATGTCCCACATTGAAAAAAACTGACAAAGTAGGAAAAGGCAATTTATGATGAATCCAGATGACCACAATTTTTCTACTCTCCTACCGTGTGTGTGAGTTTATATAACTGCATGTCCATGTACATTCTTTAAAAAAAAAATTAATCTCTCACATGTGTTAATTTACTCTAAATTCTTTTAAGATCTTTTTATATACTTACCACATCCTCGTGGTCAAAAATGCCTCCTTAAGTGAAACATTCAAATGATTTAGATAATTAACTACATTTGTAGCAATTTAGGACAGCTTAGTTCATTTATAAACATAAGTGGAGGCAATTTGGAGGGAGACAGGAATTTTAGCTCTGAAAGAATAATTTACTTAGATTTTTATGAGGTCTATTAGTAAAGACTTGCTTTCAAAATATTTTTCAAATATTCATGTTTATTTGTTCCCCTTAAATGTAATATCCTTAGCTGTTTATAACGCTGATCAACATAACTGGGTTTATAAACTTAAAAAGCATTTGTATTGACCTGCAATGCTAGATGATGGTGAAAACCCTTCAGACTTACTATGAAAAATAAACATTCTAGGTTTCCAAGAATATTCTTATTGGATACTAAATATTATGGTATCAGCTCTTTGTATAACGAAGAATTAAAGGGTAATATTTTTCCTCATTTATATAGTGGTGAGTAAAAAAAGAAAAAAAATTTTTAAAAA